GTTTGCCCGGACTATTGGAATTTCCGTGGATCCCCGGAGACGAAACAAATCCACCGAGTCCCTGCAGGCCAACGTGCAGAGGCTGAAGGAGTACCACTCCAAACTAATCCTCTTCCCGAGGAAACCAGCCATGCCCAAGAAGGGAGACAGCTCTGTGAGTACCTGACTGCTGCGAATGTGTCCTGTTTGTAGGAGGTTTGGTGTCAGACAGAGCTCCTGAGCCTTCTCCATCATGTGAACCTCATGGTGCTGAGCCCAGCACAAGGCCAGGCCTGGTAGGGTCGAGTCTAACAGGGTGCTCTAGGTTGCAGTGGCTCTTCAGCCAGGCATTTGGCTGAGCAGCTACTGGCTTGTTGTGGTGCTGATTCCTGGAGCTTTGATCCTTGCTCAGTTTTAATTTCGGGAGCTAAATTGTCACAATGGCTGGAAATTCCCCTTGGAGTCGGTCCTGCTGTTTGGAAGGCTGAGGGACAGGCTGTGAGTGGCTCCAGAGCTGTGTGCCAGGCAGGCTCCAGAAGGCAATTGTTATTGACATTCAAAAATGGTTTTCATTAAAACCTCTCCAGGATCAGAGCAAAGCTGTGTTCCCTGGTTCTGCTGCCAGTAGATCCAGGGAACACAAGGGTGAGTTCAGACTGTCCTCCCATCCTGTGGGGAATCTGGCAGCTCCAAGCTGCTTGACTCCATCTTCAGAGCAGGGAGGAAGGGCCTCGAGCTGAAACACTGATTCAGATGTGTTTGGTGGGAGTCAGCTGTATTCAGTAAATGTTCAATCATTTTTGTCTGATGACATGCTCTAACGAGAAGCTGGAATCAACCTGAGAAGGAGTTGCTGAGGAACGTGTTGGGTGTATATGAGCTGTGGGGGTTCAACTTGGAGAAAATGAGGCTCAGGGAACAGCCTCAGTTTGTGCCAGGGAAGGTGGTTCAGGTTAGACATCAGGAATTTCTTCCTGGAAAGGGTGGTCAGGCCTTGGCAAGGGCTGCCCAGAGCAGTCTGGAGTCCCCATTCCTGGAGGTGCCCAAGGAAGGAATGGATATGGCACTGAGTGCTCTGGGCTGGGGACAGGATGGGAATCGGGCACAGGTTGATCACGGAGGTCTTTTCCAACCTAGATGATCGTGTGTGAATTGAGAACAGCACAGTTGGTGTCAGAGCTGTCCCAGCTGGCAGAGCTGAGGCCGCTGCTGCTCCGGCCGGATCCGGGCACAGCGTGGGCTGCCAGTGCAGCTCCTCAGTGCCAACTGCTCTGAAGTGCTGGGTTCATCACCCTTGGGTGTTAAAGCTCCTGTCAGGATCATTAGCACTGCGTTTAAGCCGGGTACCTGCAAACAGGCTGTGCTTTAGCTGAAGTTTTAGCCAGAGAAGTTTGAATTCTGTTCTTCTAACATTCTCATCTTCTGTTGTGCAGCCAGAGGAACTCAAGATGGCCACTCAGCTCACAGGACCTGTTATGCCCATCAAGAACGTAAGTGTCATTTAATCATGTTCTCTGTGTGACATAATTGAGGTTGAAATTGAAATTGAAATTGCAGAGAGGGTTCTCTCTTTGCTGCCTCATAGCTTGAGGGTGGCTGTCTCCAGGCATTGGCCATCCTGGATCAAAAAACCCCCAGGAATAAGTCTTTGAGAGAACTGTGAAATTGAGGGAGCTTTGGGTTTAGCTGGGGTAGGAGTGCTCAGGCACGTTCTGTGGTCAGTTTGCCCCTAAATGCTGTCTGCTTCCCAGAGCTGCTGTCAGTAATGTCACAAACCGCTATAGTCATTCCCTACAGCTCCCTGACAGGAGGATGGGGTCGGGCTCTCCTCCCAGGTGACAAGTGGCAGGACTAGAGGAAACAGCCTCAAGCTGTGCCAGGGGAAGTTTAGGTTGGATATTGGGAAAATTGCTTCATGGACCAGGCTGTCCATCCCTGGCACAGCTGCCTGGGCAGTGGTGGAGTCCCCATCCTTGGAAGTGTTCAAAAAACACGTGGATGTGGCACTTGAGGACATGATTGGTGGTAACCATGGTGGTGCTGGGCTCGCTATTAAAGGTCTTTACCAGCCTTAACAATGCTGCCATTCTGTGAAACCTGACTCAGGTTTCCCGTGGTGCTTGTTTTTATTCCTGCTCCATTGTGCTCCGCGCAGATCCCGGCGGAGCAGGCTGAGGGCAGGGCCTGTAGATGGCAGGAGCGCTCCATTCCCGCTGTGATCCTCTCAGAGATAACTCCGGGAAGCCTCAGCTCCCTGTTCCCAGGGGCACTCTGACTGTCTGGCGCTCTCTCCGCAGGTTTTCAAGCGGGAGAAGGCGCGTGTCATCTCGGAGGACGAGAAGAATTTCAAGGCCTTTGCCAGCCTTCGCATGGCCCGGGCCAACGCCCGCCTCTTCGGCATCCGCGCCAAGCGCGCCAAGGAAGCGGCGGAGCAGGATGTGGAGAAGAAGAAATGAACTGTTCTCCCCAGAACTGTCAATAAAAAGCCGTAGACAGCCGAGTGTGCTGTGGTTTTGGGGCACATGTACCGGGTAGCAGAGCTGCCCGTGTGCCGGTGGCGGTGCAGGGATGTGTTCGAGCGTGGGAAGCCTCGTTTGCTGTGATTGGAGGCTCCACGTTTCCCTGAAATCGAGTTAAACACCTGCCTTGTGCCCACTCCTCTGCCTTGGCAGGGCTGCAGCCTGGGCTGCCTTCTGCTCTGATTCTGAGGGGCTTTGGGGGTTCTCTCTCCATGCCAGGCTTTGTCTGCTGCCCCTTCCCTGCCTTCCGTGCCAGTATTCCTGGTTTGATGATTTCCACACCTCTGTGTGAGGCAAAGCTGTACAAGTTGGGTGTCCTGGTGGGGGTCACTCAGGTGCTGCCCACATCGGGGGCTTTACCCACTATAGGGGGGTACAGGGGGAGCAAGGTGTGACCCAGCCCCTCAGCTGAGCTTGCATGGAGCCGATTCCCAGGGCTGGACTGTGCTGTTCTGCCATCCTGCACTCTCTGGCTCTTGGCTCATCCCCTGCTGCAGTTCCAGGGCCCTTTTAGCCATTTCTTCAGGACTTAAAGTCCATCCCATCGTAAATGTGGCACCTGGGGACATTGTTGTGGCCTCGCAGTGCTGGGAAGTAGGAGAGGGTGAACTGATCTTTGAGTTTTTCTCCAACCCAAGTGATTCTGTGATACTTCAAGTGGTGCCACAGGAGCTCGGGAGAAACCAGGGGGTTCTGGCCGATCCTCGTGTCTGTTGGGGGGATCCCAGGCTCTGCGTGTCCCTGGGCAGAGGGCTGAGGGGTCACTGGGATGTGTTGGTGGGATCAGAGCTGCTCCAGGAGCACTCACCCAGCCCGATGGGGATGGGATGGAGCACTGGGCACTGGAGCCCTGGCACAGCTGCATGGCTCCTGGGCGGTTCCAAGAGGCAAGGTGTGCCTGGTGAGGTGTCAGTTGCTGTCCAATTGCCACGGTGTCCCTCCAGCCCCTGTGTCCCGCTGTGGGTCGGTGCCTCCTGCCCCACCGAGCTGTGCTAGGGGCTGTGGGGGGAGTGGGAAGCAGCCTGGCCTATTTCTGCCAGGCAGCCTGGGGATTAGCTCCCGAAGCCTGGGCCCTGCAGTGCCCTCGTGCTCGTTAGCCCTATCTGCATTTTAATCCCTCCAAATTTGAGCTAATTACATCATCTTCCGTAAAGCTGGGTTGACAGCACCGCAGTGCTGGGGGGACAGGGGTAGGTGGGGGGTCCCAGACTGGGGACTCATCCTATGGGGCTTCATGTGCATGATGTGGGTCTGGATGCTCCAGCACGTGGGGAGGGCACCCTGTGGGTTTGGGTGACCCCACCCTTGTGCTTGGGCTGTTGGCTCAGAGTGTGGGGGGCCAGTGCCAAGGTGGTGGCCTTGGGTACCCCATGGGGAGCAGCTGAGGAGGGTGAGGGGCTGTGACTGTGCCATGGGGGTCTCACCTAGAGCAGGAGCTCCTGTCCTGGCACAGCCAGGGTGCTGGGGACCCTGGGGACCCCGCTCAGCCCCCATGCAGGGTGGGCTCCGCTCCGGAGCCGGCAGCGAGGCAGTTAACGGAGCTTGTCATCCATCTCCCTCTTAGGGCTCCGCTCCCGAGCTGCAGCTTGAGTCAGTTGTGTGGAGGTGGCAGCGGCAGCAGCTCCGGCGGGCACACCGGCACGGCGGGCACACCCCGAGCCAGCCCCTGCCCCGCCGTGCCCCAGCCCGGGCCACCAGCACCAGGTGAGGGGGCGATGGGCAGGGTGGGACCCGCTGTCCCCTCCACCGAGCCATGGATGATGCCAAGGGATGCCCGCGATCCCGGGGAGGGGGACGGTGCCCACCGGAGCTGGGGCACCCGAGCCATGTGCCGGGGAGTGCCGGGCACTGCTTGACTTCCCCAGGAAACTTTGGCCGGGCAGCGAGGGCACAGGCGGGCAGGGGCTGCTCTGCCAGGACGAGAGCCCCTCGCTGAGCCCCAGCATCGCCTGGCTGGGTGTTACCAGCCTCCGGGGGCACGATGAACACCGTCCCCAGCACGGGGGGAATCCCTCACCTGGCGGCACCCACGCGGAGTTGGTGTCCCCACTCCCCTCCGGAGAGCCCTGCCCAGGCTGGGGGGTGCTGGGAAGGGATTTCTTCTCCACAGCCCCACACGGGGTACTCCAGGGTGGGTACCCCACCCACCTCACTCAGGTCCCCCTTCCCCTCGGGACACATCGTGCCCTGGGGTGGGGCTGGCACGGCCCTGCAGGACCGTGTGAAGCCCACAGCAGAGCCCATGGTGGTGGCTGGCACTTGGGGGTACACGGGCAGTGCCACGAGGGTGCCCCAGCTCCTGCCACCCCACCGTGCTTTGATGCCTTTCAGGGCCCCGCGGAGCCACCGGGACTGGCACCGGCCACCCCACCTCGGAGAGTGTCCCTGGGGTCCCTGTCCTGCCACCGGGGCCGTGCTGGCACCGCGGGGCACCGTGCCCCGGGCATGACGGGCACCTGCCCGGCTCCCTGACGGCTCCCGAGGCAGCGACCGCCCCGGTCGGCCCCCATGCCTTTCGCCCACGGGGCCGCGGGTCCCCGAGCCCCGGCTGGCATGGGCGACGTGCCCGAGCCGTGCCCGCAGGCCCCGCTGGCCGTGCTCTCCAAGGTGGAGCTGCGGGTCAGCTGTAAACACCTCCTGGACCGCGACACCCTCAACAAGTCGGACCCCTGTGTCCTGCTGCTGATGCAGTCCCAGGGCCAGTGGATGGAGGTAGGAGAGAGTGGGGGTCACTGCTGGCACCCACCGGGCTGGGCAGGGCAGGGTGGGACCAGGGGATGTGGCAGAGGGTGGTGGATGTAGGGGGCTGCAGGGTGGGGTCCAGGGTGCAGGGCAGGGGTCAGGGTGCAGGAGATGGTGGGGAGCAGAGTACAGGGTACAGAGCAGGGTACAGGAGACCACAGGGAATGGGGTGCAGGATTCAGACCTGGGTACGGGGTGCAGGATTCAGACCTGGGTACAGGGTGCAGGGTGCAGAGCAGGGATGCAGGGTGGGGTGCAGGAGATGATGCATGGTGCAAGGTGCATGGTGTAAGACAGGTTGCAGGGTTCAGGACAGAGTGCAAGGTTCAGAATAGGGTGCAAGGTGCAGAACAGGGTGCAGGGTTCAAGGTACAGGATGCAAAGCAGAGGTGCAGGATGGGGTGCAGGAGGTGATTAAGAGTAGGGTGCACAGTACAGAACAGGTTGCAGGGTGAGCAGGGCACTGTGGGGCACCCAGGAGCCTGTGGGGATGGTGCTAACACTGGGTCACATCCAGGCCAGTGGGGCTGGAGAGCGGGGCGGGGCGTGGTGCCCACCGCGTGTGGCTCCAGAGTGGCTCCACTGTCCCGGGACAGGGACAAGGGACACCTTAACCCCCCTGCGTGGCTCAGCGCTGGAGCTCTGGTGCTGGCACTGGCGATGGCAGTGGGGCTGGCACAGCTCCTTCCACCCCTCCCCATGCTGAGCTCTGGTCTGGCACCGGCAGCTCCGCTCTAATCGCGGCCGCTCAGCCGGCGGATTTAGCGCTAAATCCTTCGGCGTGTCATCGACTCCGCTGGAGCCAGCGCGGATCCGGGGGGGACAAGGGCCCCGTGCCAGCTGCGGTGTGCTGTGCCATGCCAGACACGGTGCTCTGTGCCACACTCTGCGCTGTGCTGTGCCAGCTCCAAGAGGCAAGAGGGTCCCTCCTGAGCCACCTTTTGGAGTGACTCCTGCCCCAACCAGCCCGTGTCCCCCAGACGAGGGGGTGCCTGGATCTGGCTCTGAGAGCTGAGATGGCCCCAACCTGCTGAGTCCAGAGGGTCCGAGGCACCCAACACCCACATCCCCAAAATGACGGGCTGGCAGTGCCCATGCAGGAGAGACACAGGTGGCCACGGCAGGGTGGGCTCGACAGATGATGCTGGACTGAGTAGGCAGTGGGCAGTGGCCAGGGGCTGGCAGGGTGCCCTGGCCAGGATGTGTCCCCTTGAGTCAACACTGGCAGGGACGAGTGCGGGGGAGGCTCCGGAACTGCTCGGTGCCTGCTGCCAGCACGGCCAAGAGATCTGAGCACCCACTGCCCACTGGGGCCACCATGGCCAGGGGCTGGTGACCCCCAGGTATGGCCACCCCAGGACGGGCACAGCAGCTTGCCCTGGCACCAACCCATTGCTCCTGCTCCAGCGAAGCTGTGGCAAAGCATAGCCAGAGGCAGAGTATCCCCTTGGATGACCAGTGGGAGCAGCATCCCAGACCCAGGGCTGGCAGGGCTGGAGGCTGTGGGGGCACAAGGGGCTCCTCCAAATGCCATTCACTCGGGCACAGCAGGTCCTTGCCTGCATTCCCTGTTCCCTCACCCCTATCTCTTCACCCCCTCAGCCTGGCACGTCCCATCCCTTCATCCCCCATCACAACAGCCCCCATTCCCCACCCCTGGGTTCCCACACCCCTGGGTGAGCCCTGGCACCCCAAGGCCCTGTGCCAATCCCACACAGGTGGATCGCAGCGAGGTGATCAAGAGCAACCTGAACCCCGTGTTCGCCAAGATCTTCACGGTCGATTACTACTTCGAGGAGGTGCAGAAGCTGCGCTTCGAGGTGTACGACAGCCACGGCCAGGCTGGTGTGGGCACACACGATGACGACTTCCTGGGGGGCATGGAGTGCACCGTGGGGCAGGTGAGCCTGGGGACCCTCACCTGGGGACCCCACGAGGGTGTCCCCTCCCCAACCCTGGGCTCTCGCAGATCGTGGCACAGAAACGGGTGACGAAGCCGCTGTTCCTCAAGTACGGAAAATTTGCGGGCAAGTCCACGATCACGGTGAGCACCAGCCTGTGCTGGGGGTGACAGTGGGGTGGGTGACACTGAGCAGGGACACTGGGGTGGCACCAAACCCAGACACAAGGGTGACGCCGGGATGGGGTGCACAGGTGACATGGGGCTGGAATCCTGGGATGGCACCGGACTGGGGTACTGGGACATCTGGGTGGCACTGGACTGGATCAGAAGGGTGGTACAGACTCTTGGAGGTGGGGAGGGCTCAGGGTCCCCGATGGCATCTACTGGCCATCCTGAACATCTCTGCTGTGCTGGAGAGGCACGTGGGACCCTGTCCCCTCCCAGGGCACCACGGGGAGGTGATGGGCAGGGGGACAAAGCTGTGCCAGTCACTGAGCACCCCCGGCTGCCTCTCAGATCATCTCGGAGGAGATCTCGGGGAACAACGGCTACGTGGAGCTCGCCTTCCGTGCCAAGAAACTGGATGACAAGGTGAGCTGGGTGCCAGGGGGAAGCAGGGCAGGGTGGGCAGGGTGGGCAGTGCTCCCTCTCATCCTCCTCCCCCAGGACCTCTTCAGCAAGTCGGATCCCTTCCTGGAGATCTACCGCATCGACGATGACCGCAGCGAGCAGCTGGTGTACCGCACCGAGGTGAGACAGGGTGGCACTGGGACCTCGGCTGCCCCAGGCCACCCCGGGGCTTCCCGACCCCATTGAACCCCTCCCCTCCTGCAGGTGGTGAAGAACAACCTGAGCCCCATCTGGGAGCCCTTCAAAGTCTCCCTCAACTCGCTCTGCAGCTGTGAGGAGAAGAGGAAGCTGAGGGTGAGGAAGAATGATTCCTGCCTATTCCTACATTCCCTATTCCTGCCCTGGGGACATCCGTACCCCAGCTTCCCTGGGGGTGTTCTGGGGACCCCACAGTGCTGGGGGCAAGGCTGAGGACCCCCTGGTGCCGGGGCTGTGCCCATCACAGTGCGTGGTGTGGGACTATGACTCGCGGGGCAAGCACGACTTCATCGGGGAGTTCTTCACCACCTTCGAGGAGATGCAGAAGGCAATGGGGGAGAACAAGGTGGGACATGGGGACACGGGGATGGCCAGGGTGTCACCCTGTGTGCTGCCAGCAGAGCCTGTCCTAGCAGCCACCTTCCAGCTCTTCCTCTGGGTTTGGCATCATTTTCTTCTCGCTGCCTGTTTGGGGAAGGGATGGTGGGTTCGGGGTTTTCTGGGGAATCAGTCATGGATAGGGTGGCTGGGAGTGGGGGAAGGCAGCTGCACCCTGGGGCTGTGGGGGTGCAGGGTTATTGGGCCACAATGTTCCGGGGCCGTGGGGTCCCCACGAGTGGCACCGGGCTGGGGGTGCCGGGGCTGGCCGTGTCCCGGGCGGGGCCGCAGGCAGCGCCGGTACCGGTGCCACAGGTGCAGTGGGACTGCATGAACCCCAAGTACAAGATCAAAAAGCGCAACTACAAGAATTCGGGGGTCGTGGTGCTGCTGGACCTGAAGGTGAGTGCCTGGGAGCTGTGCCAAGGTGTGCCAGGCTCCGCGGGGCAGGGCTGCCTGACGCGGGTCCCTCTGGAAGATCCACAGGGTTTACTCCTTCCTGGATTACATCATGGGCGGCTGCCAGATCCATTTCACGGTGAGCAGCGTCCCGTCCCTGCCCAGCAGGGACACACCAGTGACCCTGCTCACCTTGGGTGACCCTCACTGTCCCCCCCCCCAGGTGGCCATCGACTTCACGGCCTCCAACGGGGACCCCCGGAACAGCTGCTCCCTGCACTACATCAACCCCTACCAGCCCAATGAGTACCTCAAGGCTCTGGTGGCTGTGGGTGAGATCTGCCAGGACTACGACAGGTTGGTGGCTCTGGCAGGTCCCCCAGGGCCACACACACTGGTGATGTCCACCTTGGGGTCAGATCTGCTGGTGACAGGAGCTCAGTGATGGCACCAGAGCTCCTCACACCCCTTCCCTTGCAGTGATAAGAAATTCTCGGCTCTGGGCTTCGGTGCCAGGATCCCCCCCAAGTACGAGGTGAGGGGGTCTCAGGTTGTGGGACCCCAGGGATGTGCTCGTGCCTCTGGGTACCCTCGGCTGTGGCACTGGTGGGGTTTGGCAGATGCCAGGGGCTGTGGTAGAGGGTGCACCAGCTGCCCCCTCCCTTCCCTTCCTCCCTCCCTCCAGGTCTCCCATGACTTCGCCATCAACTTCAACCCCGACAATGATGAGTGTGAGGGTGAGTCCAGCTCCAGAGGGGCCGGATCCGTGTCTGGGATGCCCCTCACCTTTCACACACCCCGCAGGCATCCAGGGCGTCGTGGAGTCCTACCAGAGCTGCCTGCCCAAAATCCAGCTCTACGGCCCCACCAACGTGGCTCCCATCATCTCCAAAGTGGCTCGTGTGGCGGCCGACGAGGAGCGGACCAAGGAGGCGTCGGTGGGTCCCTCTGTCCCCCGGGGCTGGGCTGAGACCTTGCACACTCGTGACACCCGTGGCTGCTCCGGTGTGGGGTCAGGCAGCCCCCCGAGCATCCCTGTCCCCCCAGCAATACTTCATCCTGCTGATCCTGACGGACGGGGTGGTGACGGACATGGCAGACACGAGGGAGGCCATCGTCCGAGCCTCCTACCTGCCCATGTCCATCATCATCGTCGGCGTGGGCAACGCCGACTTCACGGACATGCAGATCCTGGACGGGGACGACGGCGTCCTGCGCTCCCCCAAGGGCGAGCCCGTCCTGCGCGACATCGTCCAGTTCGTCCCGTTCCGCGAGTTCAAGAACGTGAGTGGGGCAGCGACGAAGTCCTGATCCTGCCTTCCCCTCCATGCCTTCCCCTCTTTCCCTTTCACTCCTGTCCCCTCCCTTCCCTTTCCATCGCCGCCCATCCCGCCCCCGATTTGTCCCGTCTCCTCTTTCCCTCTCCCATCCATCTCCCTTCTCGTTCCCTCTCGTCCCCTTCTGTCCCCCCTGTCCGCTGCCGTGCCCTCCCCCTCCACACCCGCACACGGTAGCACACGGTGCCCGCGGTCACCCCGGTGTCCCCGGTGTCCCGCAGGCGTCACCCACAGCCCTGGCCAAGTGCGTGCTGGCGGAGGTGCCCAAGCAGGTGGTGGAGTACTACAGCTACAAGGCGTTCCCCCCGCGCTGCCCCCGGCCCCCCACCCCCGACCCCAACCTCGGCTCCCCGCAGTGAGCGGCCCCCGAACCCCAACCTCAGTTTCCCCGACCCCGACTCCGGCCTCAGTTTCCCCAGTGAGAGACCCCCAGTGCCCCCAGCCCCAGCCTTGGGGTGGCCCAATGAAGGGCCCCCGACCCCAATGTCTACGTTCCCCAGTGAGACCCCCCCACCACTGTCCCGCTGTGGCGTGGGGACAGACGGGGTCCCCGCCAGGCCCTGCCCTGCCACAGCCCGGACCCAGCCCTCGGTCCCCTCGGTCCCCGCTTCTCTGTCACTGTGATACTTGGAGGCTGCATGATCCCCCCAATAAAGCACCACCCCTGTGCCCATCCTCCTGTTCTCTGGGTGCCGACTCCCACCCTAGGGGGAGTTCTGGAGGGGGTGGGTGAGAGACTGGCAGCTCCTGGCTGCTTCCACGGTGACACCTGGTGACAAGAGCCCAGGGCAGCCCCAGCCCCCACATTTCGGGTGTCCGTGGCCAGCAGCGTGCCGGGAGCGCCGGAGCAGCCGTGGCTTTGATGTGCCAGAGCCGGCGCTCGCCCCGCTGTGCCGCGGCCCCGAATCCAGGGCACGGAGCGGGGAGAGGCGGGCACGGAGCGGGCCCTGCTGCCCGGCACACGGCCAGTGCCACGTGCTGGATGCCATGTCCCATATAACCCATGCCACACCCCACGCACCATGTGTCCCCAGCTGTGTTCCGTGTGCCATGTCCCATGTGCTCTGTGTGTGTATCCTGTGCCATGGGCCATACACCACGTTCACATTCCCTGTGCCATGTATTGTGCCATGTCCCATGTGCTGTGCATGCTGTGCTGTGTGTCACATGCCATGGGTCATGCACTGTGTCCCACGTGTCTGTCCCATGTGCCACATGCTGTGTGCTATGCTCCATGTATCTGTTCCATGTGACATGTGCCTTGTCATGTTCCCTGTGCCATGTTCTGTGTGCCGTGTGCCATGTGCCATGCGTCATGCTGTGCCACGTGCCATGTGCTGGGCACTGTGCCGTGCTGCTGCCACGGGCTGTGTGCTGATGCTGCCAGCATGGTGGCAGCAGATACTCCTGGCGAGGTGACATCCCCAGGGGTAAGGTGTGCCCAAGGCCACCACAGGGACTGAAGCCGGGGCCTGGCACAGCCTCGTGGGGTAAGGGCCACCTGAGAGCCGCCTGCAGCTGCCACTGAGCTGGGTTTCAAGGTGCTGCCACCTCCCTGGGTGCAGGTACAGGTGCCAGGCTGTCCCCATGTGGTGTCACTCATTGGGATGGCCCTGCTGGCCCTTAGGCACTGCTGGCAGCACAAGGCACAGGCACAAAGCACGGGCAGGGGCGCAGTACCTGCACCCCCATTCAGCACCTATTTATAGCTCCTGATTCATCTCCTGTAAGGCGGGATCAAGGATGTTGCCGTGGAAACCCAAACCTGCCGCCTGGAGGCTGCAGCAGGGGCCAGTCCTGGCACGGGCAGGAGCTGGTACCCCAATCCATAGGGACAGATCTTGGGTGGGTGCAGAGGGACCCCACGGTGCTGGGAGTGCCCAGAGACACCACACTGGGTTGTCCCCTCCGGCAGGAGGGGCTGGCAGAGGTGGCAGGAGTGGCAGGACATCGGTGCCACTGTGCCACAGACCCCAAGGAGAGTCTCACCACCTCCCCGCTCTCAGCCAGCCCTAGCCAGGCGTTCTGGTGGTGCCAGGGCCAAGCCCCCACCCAGCTCACCCTGCAGGGTCAGGGAGCCAGTTAAATATTGACTGAGCTCTGCTTGCTGGGGGCTCCAAAGAGCAATTCCTTGGAGCATGGAAGGAGAGGGGCTGAGGAGCTCGGGGTGCTGCCTCCCTGGGAGACCCCAAGGTGCTGGGATTGTGGAACAAACCCCTCAGTGCAAACACTCCAGGAGGGGAGATGGGCAAGGGGAGCATCCAACCTGGTTAGTCGGGGTAGGACGCACTGGAAGAGGATCCACTGGGAGGGAAACTCTAGGGATGGAGGGCCCTGCTGAAGGAGCCAGCTCCGTGCCACCAGCCCTGGTGGCAAACCCTGGTGGCTGTCGGCCCCGGAGCCTGGCACCCCGCCCTGGCCCGTGCTCCCACCCAGTCATTGCTTCCAGGCCGTTGATAAGGTCCCCGGGGGATGCATCCCCACCCCAAACCACTCCTGATAACAGCAGCTCTTCCCGCTGCTTCTCGCCCCACACCCCTGGGAACTGCCTGCCTGGGAACAGCAATAAATATTTATTTCCGCAGGGCGGGATGGGCGGAAAGGGGAGGTCACGGCCACACGCCCCCGGCCAGGGGGAGAGAGGCCACAGGAATGGCCACAATACATGGCTGGAAAAGTTCCCCGTCCTCAGGGAGGTGAGATAGTGCCATGGCTCCACACCAGACCCCCAGCCCCAGGTGCCGGGGTGACACAGGGGGTGTTTTATGGGGTCTCCATGTGGTGGTTCTCAGCAGGGGAGGGCTCAGTGTCCCCCCAAACCCCAGGACCTTCAGGCCATGGGCCATTGCGAGGGTAGCTCCACGTCCCCCATCTCCTCCTGGTAGCGGCGGTTGAAGAGGGCATTTTGCTCGGGGGAGAAGTGGCTGCGCCAGTCCCCAACCACCCCTGTGGGACAGAAGGGACAGGGAGTCAGGGATGCTGCATCCTTGCCCCCCACCCCCCTCAACCTAATTCCCCCCCACCTTTGCGCATGAAGCGGCCCTGGCTGTGGTCCATGATCTCGGCAGGGATGAGGGAGTAGTTGGTCATGGCGTTGTCCTTCATGGCAGAGAAGCTGCAGTGCTGCTCCAGGGCTGCCAGCGTCTCCGGGGCCAGCGGGCACCCCAGGAAGCTGCTGAGGCGCTGAGCTGTGCCACGCAGGTCCTGGGGCAGGAGCAGGGTCAGCACCGGGCACCAGGAGGGACGGGGACAGGGATGGGGACCCAGCGGGGCTTACCTGGTGCAGCTCCTCGTAGGTGACGTAGAGGATGTCCAGGAGGTGCCGCTGGCTCAGCCAGCCCTTGACGTGGTCAAACCAGGAGCCGTAGTGCACTGGGGGAAGGTGGGCGGTGATGGGGGACCCTGAGGCTGAGTTCCTCCCCACCCAGACTCCCCCAGTCCCTACCTGTGCCCTCGAGGAACTGTGTCAGGAAGACATCGAAGGAGCTGGGGTCGGGCAGGAACTTAGCCAGGTGGTGGAAGTGGTAGAAGGACACAGCGACGTCTTTGGGGTTCCTGGCCACGTAAATCACCTGGGGGGACACAGTGTCACCCTCACAGCTCGGGGGATTCCTCTCCACCCCGCTCAGAAAACCCCCAGTGTTTCCCCAGCTCTGGGAAGCCCCATGGGTGTGGGATGTCCCTGCAGGGACCCCCCCAGACCCTGGGGACCCCTCGCACCTTGGCCTTGCTGCGCTGCAGGGCGGGGGCCAGGACGTGGGCGGGCAGGTGCGTGGTGAGGAGCCGCGGGCTCTCGGTGTCCCGCAGAGCCTGCCTGCAGTAGATCTGCTCCAGCCAGGGCGCCCGCTCCCAGTTGGGAATGGTCTTGGCTGGGCGGGCATCTCCAAGGCTGTAGAGCAGCGTCAGGATCTCCTGCATCCAGGTGGTGCCTGCAGAAGTGAGTGTGAGGGCAGGGCCACGGAGCACCGCGGGGCTCGGCACCATGGCACGGCACATCATGGCACTGCGTTGGCACGGGTAGCACGGATTGGCACAGCAAGGCACGGCTCAGCCTGTCCGATCCCATCCCATCCCAACTCCTCCTGTACCAGCTGGGCTGGCAGTGCGTGTCCCCCCTACCTGAGTCCCCAGGGCTGGTGACAGTACGGCAGCAGGACAGGGGCTCAGGGGACGGGACCTCCTCAGTGGCCGCGGGGACCAGGTCCGGGTGTCTCCAAGCCCGGCCACCTCCCAGCCCCGCCGGCAGCTCCAGAAGAGCCCCCCCGCTCCAGCCCGGGGTCCCAGCCCTGTCCCACCGCGTCCCCTCCTTGTCCCCGTGTCCCCCCATCCCCTCACCCGATTTGGGGTAGGTGGCGATGAGCACATCGGTGGGGCGGAAGGTGAAGGCGGCGGCGAAGCCGAGAGACTCCTGCGTGTGGAGGTGGCCGGGCAGGGAGATGCCCTCAAAGGTCTCGGTCACCTTCATGCGCTCCATGGCCCGGCCGGGCGGGACGAGCCGGGAGCCGCTTAAATAGCGGCGAAAGAGGAAGCCGCCCCGGCGGGCGGGGGGCCGGAACCCCCCGGCACATTCCTGCTGGGGAGCCGGGAATCCGGCCGCGCTGGGGCCAGCGCCGGGAGAGCGCTGCTGGCAGGGGCTGGGACACCCGGGATGGGATGGGAGGGGATGGGTGGGTTGGGATGGGAGTCCTCCCTTCCCGGACCCACCGGCGCAGCCAGGAGAAGCGTGGGGGTCGCGTCAACTCGGGGAGGGGGCCAGGAAGCCCGAGGGATGCCAGCCCCACACCATCCCCACCCTGAGCTCCCCATGGCTGGCACTGGAGGAGAGGGTTCCCGTCCTAGCAGACCCCAGGATGAGGTGTCCAGTTGGAACAGTCATCTCCACGTGGCTCCATGCCATTCCCAGAAGCTCCACTAAGGCCTCTTGCTGGGAAGGACACCACAGCTGGAGCCAGCAGGGATGCGCAGCATCGCAGGACAGCCGTGCCTCAGTTTCCCCTCGGGACGCCGCAGCAGGACCGGAATGTGGGGGATCCAAGCACACATGGAGGAGCAGCAGCAGCCCCACACCACGGCCGTGCCACCCCGGCTGCTTCCCCCCGGGCATGAGGCTGCTCCGGCGCCATGGCGGGGGGTGGCTCTGGGGTGGCTGGAGCCCATCCCAGACCCGTCACCGCACGCAAGCCGGAAAACTTAATTCAGAGCCGTCGCAGACAGGGACTGCCCAAGTGTCCCAGGGCCGGGGTGAGCGGGACCAGGGGTGTTGGGGGTGCCGGGGATGCTGGGGGTGCCAGTGCTGGACCGGGGGTGCGAATGGATGCCGGTGCTGGGGAGGCTCGGGCGCAGATGGGACTGGCGCTTT